ATTTATGCATGCTTGTCCCACCATTGGTGAACCATATTGTCTGTGTCAAAAACAGTTCCTGTTTTTACTGCCCTGAAATTAAACTTGCAAAAGCTGAATAACTTCTTAGTGATCATGACTGACACCAGTTGGTAGTTTGCTAACATGGCTTTGTTTCATAGCACTTATTTGATTGACACAGCCAGGACTTACAGGGGACATCATGACATCATGGAAAATCCACTATTTTAGCTGTTAAATGCATTTTTGTCAAAGTCTGTAGGAGTGCWTTGCATTGAATCTAGTGTCTCCTGGTGCTGCATAGATATCTTTATATTCTCTTTGGGTCATATTTTTAACATGTTCAGTTTTCTCTGTTTTCTATGATGTTTTCTGAACGTATTTGTGGCTGCCAAAAAAGAAAAAAAAAGGTCTGGCCTTACTAACTACAATTTTGTCATCTTCATTCTCATCTCGCTCTGGGTCAGACTCCGGCTCAGACATGTAAGGCTGGATGGACAAAGGATGTCTTCCATTGCTGACATCCCTTAAATTAAAAAAATAAATAAAATTAATGTTTCTGTACATCTAAATATTTGTAAACCCTTCTCTCAAAGTACAACTGCTCTGGAAGTTGAGGTGGGGGGCGCTCCTTTGGATTTAAAGGGACAGCATCAAAACGAGCTGCTTTGAGACACCCTTCAGAAAAGGGGTGAATTCAAATGAACTCTACCAACTTCACCAAAGAGAAAATATATCCAGCCAAAATAACACCAGAAGCTTGTTGATTGCTACGAAAACATTGTGATTGAGGTGCAATTTGTGAATGCATTTAACCAACTAGGCACGTACAGTAAATACATTTTGAGCCTGAAAATTCACATTAGATTCAAACTTGTACACTCTGCTAAGTTTTTAAAATCATGATTTTGCACGTTGTTTTATCATTTCACCCAAGAAGACAGATTTGAATGAAGCAATAAAAGACCAAAAACAATAAAGCACAAAAGAAGGCTTTGTGCTTTTAATGACACAAATTATCGTCTCTATGGATTAAAAAAAAGCACGGGGGCTGAGGGAGGAGCTGCTGGTATGAAGAAATCTGGAGTATCAGAGAAGTATGTTGGACTGCTACAGGACACAAGGACAGCAGGACAGTGGTAAGATGTGGTGTAGGGGTGACAGACAGCCTTTAGGTGGTCGTGGGACTACCCTCACCAGCCAAATTATTAGACACACCTTGATAGTACCAGGTTGGACCCCATTTGCCTTCAGAACTGCCTCAATCCTTCATGGCAGATTCAGCAAGGTACTGGAAACATTCCTCAGAGAGTCTGGTCCATATTGACATGATAGCATCAAGCAGTTGCTGCATATTTGTCGGCTGCACATCCATAATGAGAATCCSGTTCYACCACATCCCAAAGGTGCTCTATTGGATTGAGATCTGGTGACTGTGGAGGCCATTCGAGTACAGTGAACTCTGTCGTGTTCATGAAACCAGTCTGAGGTGATTCACGCTTTATGACATGGAGCGTTATCCTGCTGGAAGTAGCTATCAGAAGATGGGTACGCTGTGGTCATATGGTCAGCAACAATACTCAGGTAGGCTGTGGCCTTGGCACAATGCTCAGTTGGTATACTAATGGGCCCAAAGTGTGCCAGGAAAATATCCCCCAGACCATAGCACCACCACCACCAGCCTGAACCGTTGATACAAGGTGGGATGCATCCATGCTTCCATGGTGTTGACGCCAAATTCTGACCCTACCATCTGAATGTTGCAGCAGAAATCGAGAACTCATACTTTTAGCATAAATTAGCTTGAAGTTAACTTCCGTACAGGTATTTGTTAACAGGAAACAACGAAAGGCTGTTTCTCACATTCCCTATATACAGTATGTAAATTCTAAAGTATGAACAAAAAAGTACTTTAAATTACCAAAAGGTTAAGGTAAATCTTGTACTTTTGAAAGATATCCACAATAGATGTATGTCTTCCTATTGCAAGGAGAGGAGATTAATTAAAGTCAGCGTTACACTCAACATTTAATCCCAGACCTGATAATGTCACAATATTCCTCACAGATGAATAGTTTCAGGGAACATTCAAGACATAGTTTGCATTTTGTGATCATGAAGTCCAGCTGACGTAGCAATGACTGTAGGACTATACATATCTGTGCTCATAATCTCAGCTCAGTATTAGTGTAAGATTTTTTTTCTAGATTAACACAAGCTTCTAGATTAACATAATCAGTATGTCACTAAACATGAAACTACAAGTGTGTAGCAGAGGCTCTTAGGTTGCTCACTAGCTTAACATAACTTTGAATGGTATATAGAAGTGTTTATTTACAGAAAATGACCAATTCATCCCTGGAGTAAGGATATAAAAAGATAATACAGAAAGCATTTTTCTGAAAATGGTCAGGTACAAGGTTAAACTGGATCTTTGCTTAAAGACATTAAAGGTTTAGTACAGTATAAGCAAAATGTTTTTTAATTTTTAAAAATTGTTATCACCTTTGCCTATCATATTGTATTCATCTGAGTTTATAAATAAAAACTAGTGAAATGCAGATCGATACTGAAATATCGATATCACTGATACCAAATCTTTATGCTCTAAAATTGATCCTAAAATCAAAATATTKATGCTTTGATACTGCARTCATAACTAAACTTTTGAAAACTTGACTAAATAGTACACAATTGGTGGGAACTACTTTTTTCTTATGCCTGAAATACTCTACCTTTTAAAGGATTATCAGACACATTAGATATATTTGTACAAAGTATCAGTATCGCCGATACCAGCCTGAGTTTCGGTATCAGAATCAGAAGTTAAAAGGGTGGTATCAGAGACATCACTACTGAAAAGGAGAATTTGTATTAAACTTTATTTTTTAATTATTAATTGTTGGTAAAATATTTTTTAATTAATCTCAAGAAGCTGTGTTAAAAGTTATTAAGATCTTTATGGAAACAACATATCAGCAAATATGTCAAGTTTTGTTGTGGCTGTTAGCATTAGCTTGAGGTGCTAACATTGCATCTCAGGTGATCATTGTGGAAAGTGTGCACAGAAGAACTAAGAAGTTCACAGCTAAAAGGGGAAATAGGATAGAGGAAGTGCTACATGTTGAATAAAATACTGCCCTTTAGATCACAAAACGTTTTATGAATGAGTCTAGATTCACATCCTGGTCTAATGTAAGCTCAAAATAAGAAGTTGGCCATTGTTGCCCTGCAGCAAATGCTACTACTTTATAAGGAAAAATACACTGAGTTCATATAAAAGTTGTCTTTCAATGAGAGTCAGCGGTTTGATTACCCACTATTCAGTCACATGTTTAAGTATCCCTGAGCAAGACACTGAACCCCCACTGCCTCTGTGTGTCCTATCAGTGTATGAATGTGAATTAAAGCACTGACTAGTTTACATAGAATGATCTTATCTGGATTAGCTCTGTAAGTCATGTGTGAATGGGGCACAGAGTCTGGACCCTGGACTCTGTGCACGTCTCAAAGCCATCTTTACTAACTGTATCCTGGTCAAATAGAAAGGCACTATATAAGTACAGTCCATTTACTATATTTACACTTGTACTTGAACAATCTTTCAGATGTGTTGCTAAACATTTCCCCCAAACAAAACTTTGTAATAAATAGAAGTATGGGTCCAAACACAGAACCCTGATGGAACTCCATGACTGACTACAGGGTGAGCAAAGAAAAACTTCATTGATGACAAATATTATTTAACACAAACACAGGTAAACGTGCATTTGTTAACAAATTTATTCTAAATAGTTTTACATTGTTTCGATGTGTATTTCACTTTGTAAATGACACCGTTTTTCATCAGACATGGTATCTGTATTAAAAACCCATGAAGAAGCTGATGAGGGTGCAGTACTGTCCAAAGGTTTCTTACACACCATCTCATGTTCCACCTGTTTGTATCGTACCAAACCTGGTCAAGAGGGACTGAGTGGAATGACAATTTTTAGGATGTATCGTGGCACTGGTGTGGATTTCAGACGAAATATGAATAAGTTAGTTAAAGCATCAACCCTCCACAATTCGCCGAAGCAGGTTTCCCAAGCCGCCCTTGGCTATCTGGAGTGGGGTCTTCTCCTCTTTGTTCTCGATATAAATGCTGGCTCCATGTTCTACCAGCAGCTTGGCTGCTTCGACTCGCTCCTCGTCGCACGCAAGATGGCTGCAAGAAATAAAACAGAACTCTGAAATGGAACTTGTTTGAAAATTCATCTAAAATGCCCCCCAACCCCGATTGTAAAATTCCACCAAATAGTGGTGAAAGTAAAAAAGAAAAAAATAGAAAACTGATGTTGTACTGAAAATAAATATTCCAAACCAAGCTGTGACGGAGACCAATGAAGGGAAGTGAAACAAGCACACACACACACAAAGGTTTCTCTGCACACTTACAGCGCTGTGTTGCCCTGCGAGTCCTGGATGTTTGTTGAGGCGCTCTGCTTGAGGAGCAGCTGGATGAGGCGGTAGTTGCCCTTAGCGGATGCCCTGTGGAGTGGGGTGGAATCCAACTTGTCAGTAGCATTGGGGTCTGCTCCATTTTCCAGCAACAGCAAGGCAATCTGAGAAGAAGAGAAACTGTGTCACGCACAAGCTGGTGACGGGTAACCCAGTTTAAGCGTCAGCGCTTCCCCTTTGCCAAGGTTTCTCCCTTTTTTAACTGATGCTTCTAGTTTCTAACCAAATTTGCACGAACTTGCAGAAAATTTCACCGCTCAAAGGAAGAGAGATCAAAAGTAGAAACGAGACTTGAAACTGTTGGGAATCTCTTGGTTGGTTTAAATATAGCAGAGCTCATAGAGAGATTCACAGTTTGTGTCAGAATGTTGTTCTACAGTCTTAGATGCAGATTCCTAAAATAATGAATATCACCCGTAAGCAAATGTAAGCATTTTATAGTCATTTTGTGATTTGTGATATCTAGACTGAACAAAGCACACTTTTGAAACAAGAAATGATGAACTGCCTCTGATTTGAAGAAAACTTAAAAATGTTTTACAACTTTCTGTTCTGTAACATTTTAGATAGTATTTGTAGGGTTTTTTGAAAAATCTTATTTTTCCACATAGAAACTCATAAAAAAATCTCATCTTGAAAATTAATTTACTTTTTAGTTTTTTTGGTCAAATCTTGACGATATTATGCGTGATTGCATGTGATATTGTAAGATCTCACTCAGAATGTGTTGTGAATGACAAACACCAAGTTTCAGCCTAATACCTGTAGTTACAGCCTTCTTTGTAGTAACTAAGGTTGATAAGCTGACAGCCATCTTGATTCAACTATTTATCCCTAATTTTGGCTCTGTATTTTACTACAATGAATTTTGAACAAAACATTTCAGATGCAKTTGAAGTTCAGACTCTCAGCTTTAATCCGGTGAGTTGAACAAAATGATTATTTATAAATTTTTTAACACAATCCCTTCATTTTAGGGCCTCAAAAGTAATTGGACAAATTAAATAATTGTACATAAAACATTAATTTCTAATACTTGGTTGAAAACCCTTTGTTGGCAATAGAGCTGGGCGATATGATCAAAATTTTATTTCACGGTATTTTCAACATTTTCACCGGTTCCATGGTATTTGAGGGTATTTTTCTTTTCATCACAGCTCAGCTGATAATAAAATATACAAACCCTGCTTATTTACTTTTTTTCTTTTACTGTAACTGTGTCGCTATTTCCCTCCTCTGTGTCTGTTCTTCTCTGACTGGTGGTTGGAGACAGTAGTCACGCATTTTGGTCCAGTCGTGAAGGAGGAGGGTTAAGAAAAGATTATGATCGGGTTTATTTTTTTTATGTTATTTATTAAAGCTTATCAGCACGACTCACCTTGCACACCAGTCAATTCCAACTCCACTACGAACTACTTCCTGCAGGCTTTTCACAATAGAAGCACGTTAAGTCTCCATCAGCATAACATCTCCATATTAACTAACYGTGTTAAATCTAACTGTGCACGTCACTGAAGAGGTGTTTACTACATTCAGCAACAGCGAAAACGGGATGTTTTTTTAAACGTCAGTCAATATAAGCAGCGGAATCGCCACCCGCGGCTGCAACTAGCTGCTCCAAACATTAGCATGCTAACGCACATAGCGGTGCAGCAAGGAGAAATGTCCCCCGGGAAACAAAGGTTCACTGGCGGCCGCAACGAAACGTTCTGCTATTTAAACCAGAATGTCCGGTTTTCAAAAAATTCATATCAGAACAAAAATAAAAACCGGTATTCGGTACAAAACGGTATACCGCCCAGCACTAGTTGGCAATGACAGTAACTCCTCCTTAATAAACTACTGGGTTGCTTTCGCTTTATGTTTTGGGTCATTGTCCATCTGAAACGCCAACCAATCAGTTTGGCTGGATTTGAGAACAGTGTGTCTGAATACCTCAGAAAACCTCAGATTTCTGTCTGCTTCTGTCCTGTGTCACATCATCAATAAACACCAGTGACCCAGTGCCACAGGCAGCCATCTCCAGTCCGCTTGCCGTCCACACATGCAATTGAACAGCACCAGAGTTCACTTCAACCAAACCAAGATCTAAGTTTGTAGGTGGACCTGAGGGTGCTTTTTTGGTCCGCCTTCAGAGTTTCATTACGCATTCACTCCTCCCTAAATGAACAAGACTTTTTAGGGAAAAGACTTTTTAAGTTCGATTAAAGCGAACTAAACAGGGCTGGTGTGAATACACCAGAGTAAAGTCCCATCCCTGATACGTCATGGTAAACAAGGAATTAAGTTATAGATACAAACACTAAAACTAAATAGAGACTTGATTCTCTTACCATTTTAAAGGGTTATATAAAAATAAAAGACTATCATCACAAAATAACCTTCAAGAAGATGGAAAAGATCCTACAATTCTGTAACAAAACACCTCACGATGTGAAGTATTTTCTACACAAATCATTTGATTTATGTAACAAAAGCCAACAAGTATAAATAAGATGATATTATCGACTACTACTATATTTAGTTGACAGTCCAATTATTTTATTTAAACCAAATATAAAGTGAAGCAAACAAGAAGAAGTAATTTGAATATTATGGGCAGCGTTCACCTCTGACATTCTTTATCCTTAAATGACTCCACGTGGAGTTTTTCTAACAGTCCAAGTTTATGAGCAGGATAATCTTCTAATTAATGATTTACAAAGMTGATGGAAATAACCTTCAGTAAACCACAAACCAAACAATTACACTAAGAAAAACCAGTTTGATTATTTCCTGTTTCACTTGATGAATTTAAAACATTGCTTCGATCAGTGGTTCTCAATCCTGCATGTTTTAGTTGTTTCCCTGCTTCGGCACAYCTGGTTTAAATGAAKGAGTGATTGGCAGGCTTCTGCARAACTTGAAGAGTTATTGATGATCAGGGAACAGGCAGGACAGGGGCCCTTGAGGACCAGGACTGAGAACCCCTGGCTTAGATGACAAGTTAGTGTTTTTATTTACTTATTTTTTAAAAGAAGTAATTTTGTTTTTCTTTCCTTTTTTTTTAACCCAAAGTAATAGAAGTCAACCTGGGAACTAAACTAGACAAAATAAATTTAGCACAAAATGTAAGGAAATTTGTGTTTTGTTTTGTCATTGTTACAACAAAAATAATTTATTAAACTTTTTGTGCTAAATTTATTAGTTTTTTCGTGACAGATTATTTTATATTACTTTTGTTGCAGATGTGAGATTTGCAACAAAAATTTTAAATGTATCAAGCTTTAAATCAAGTGACATCAGGAAACATGTTTCACCAGTTTTGTCTGTCTGTTAGCAGAATCATGAACTACTCAATGAATTTAAACAAACTCTTAGAAAATAATCACTGGTTTTTCATCTACAGTTGACTCACTGTTGGAGCCAAAACTAATAAAGATGACCGTTACCGAATATTGATAGTTGCAAATTTAAAAACATCTCTAACTCTGTTAAATTGCAAATTTTTATGTCAAATTTGGTGTGGGAGTAGCTGAGAATCATTTGCAACACATACTTGAAGTGCTAACAACACGACAGCTTTGTTTAAAAATTTGCATAAAAGGCATCGAGGAATAAGCTTTCCTTCAARGAACGCTAGTTTCATTTAATTTATGAGAAAATAAATCACTTACTGAAGCTATGAGCTTGTTTGTTCTGCTTGTTTTAAAAGCAGAAGAATCTTCTGCTTTTAAATTAAAAAAATAAGTTCAGATTCACTTTTCAAACAATTAAACTGTATAACATTTCTCTGACCTACAGTCATTTATTTTATTTTATTGTTTTGTCTTTATTTACACAGGCATTCTCATTGAGACACTGGAACCTATTCATAAAATACATTTGTTTCAATCAAACATACAAAGATGAAACAAATAGTTAACCAGTTAAATTGTAGAATGAAATAAAAGCAGAATAGGAAGCTAAAGACAGGAACAAGTATCCAGGGATGTTTTTCTCCACTGTTCTTACAATAAGTTCAAAACCCTTAGTGGAATTAAGATAGACTTTTTCATTTCCAGCTGCAGCCTTTTATCCATGCTTGTTTCATACCAAAAAGAAAGCTAATGACAACATCTGACTGTAGGCAGCGCTAACTTCGTTCATCCAACATATAAAAAGATAAATATGTTGGCAGAAAGCCAAGAATTGATATGTAAATTAAATTAAATACACATGTTTGCAGTTAAGCAATAACGGTTGATTAGTAAGAAGAATRTGAAGCAGTGAATGAGGAGTTAATGTTGTGATAGAGAAATGAATTACCCTTTCTTATCAGTAGGTGGCAGTATGGAGCACAATAACGACATAAGTAAAAACTGTACATTAAAGATGATCAGTGATGCTACAAAGCAAACTGAAAATCTATCTATCTATCTATCTATCTATCTATCTATCTATCTATCTATCTATCTATCTATCTATCTATCTATCTATC